AAACGACACATTGCTTAGGGGACATTTGCGATGAATCCTCAATATCGTATCCAGGTGACAGATTCGGATCCGTATGATGATGATAACTTATGTACCGTGATAATTGCTGTATTGCAAAAGTATCGACGTGAGCTCAAACATTTGGGTATCGAGAATTTACCTATAGGATTTGCCGTTTATGATGTAAAATCATTCTTTTTTCTTTTTTATTGAAGTAATACATTTGAATTAATGTTGAAGTCTTAACTATCGATAACTTTGTCAGTAAAAAGGCTTATTCAAATCTCATGAAAACTGAACTAGGCATCAAAATACTTGCCACAACAAATTAGTTTTAGCACAAATTGCAGGAACGTATTTTCCTACCAAAAACTTTTTGTCTCTTCCAAAATTTGTTTCTTCTCAATAATCTTTTCAAAAAAGAAACAGAAAGTTTTCGAAAATCGAAAATTTACCGTGAAATAAAAAACTTTTCGTAATTTTAGTAATAATCGTAGTTCAAATTTATTAATGTTAAATGTTAAAATCTTAACTATCAATAGTCTTAATGTTGAAGTCGGGAATGAAATGGAAGGACACGATATTTATTAAATTTTATGATTTAACATTTATAGAATTTTGGTTTTGATTTTTTTTTGAATTTAATTTTGATTTCTATTGGTTTTTAACAAGAACTTTTCAACTGCCTTAATTTGAATTTCAAGAATAACTGTACTTTTGAATTTCAAAAGACTCACAAATGACTGTTTGCTCGTCTTTTGCAGTTTCTCTCTAACCATAACAATAAATTTGCAGAAAAATGTGTTTAATTTCTATATGCTATTCTTGATTATTTACAAAATGGATCATCCTGTCTTTTTTTCAGGTTGGAGACTTTAACGGACGTTTAACGCGAGAATATTTCCAACGACATAAATCGTGTGCTAGGAGTGCTGCGTTCATTAACTTACGCGAAGTGATTATTTTTGTATTACTTCCGTTTAATTATTCAAATAATGATACTGTTCCAAAAATCATCTTATATACGCAAGCCCGCCATTTAACTTTTATCGTTTTTGTCATTCCATCTTTTTTCTCTTGATTTAAACTTTTGATTGTCTTTGGAATAAATAATTTCGTCCTAATTCTTGCAGATAACAGGTCGTTTTCGAATTCCACCAGGCAATTACGTAATTGTGCCATCAACATTCGAACCAAATGAGGAAGCGGAATTTATGCTCAGAGTTTACACAAATGGTTTTATTGAATCAGAGTAAGTATATAATTTTTCGGTAAACATTTTAAAATTTTCAAATGATCTGGCAGATTTTTTTTATGGCCTATAATGTGCAGATAATAAATATCGTTTATGTCCAATCATTTAAATATTTTATTCATAAGCCTTAAAAACTCAAACTTTAAAAATTTTCGAATTCAAGTTTCCTTTTTTCAGGCAACTGTGAATTTTGATCGAAGCGCAATTAAAATTGAAATTAATCAGCTGACAATTATTTTTTCGGACTACATGTTGAAAGACGCATTTATTGATCATTTACTTCCATAATCTCTCGCCAAATATACTAAACCATTCTTGTTTTTTCATAATGGATTTGTATTAATTTATTGTCTGTTTTTCAGTTCCAATAACTTCTGTTTGTTTACATAATAAGGATGAAGTTGTGAATAAAATCTTTCGCAAGTCATATGGAAAATTCTAGCGAAAGAATAATTGGGATTTGTTCCGGAAAACTGAAAAATATTCTCTTTCTGTCTCCATTTGTTTATTTCCCAATTATTATAATGAAAAAAAAAAAGAACAGATTAAAAGGAATGTAATTGCATTGCAAAACTTCTACTCCAGTTTGGTCAGTCTTTGTGTGTATTTCAATACCCGCTAGTATTTAATGAATTTAACTGCGCTTATTTTCAATATATAGCTAATACTAAAGCTTTTTCAACACTTTCCGTTTTCCGGTATTTCCAATTACAGACCCTTTCTGATTGCAAATTTGGTCTTCGCTGCTCTTCGTAGTTGTATTCGGCAAGGTATCAGGCACGATTCGGTCATCGCTATCCCATCCGCTGCCAAACCGAATACAATTAGTCCAGTACAGTGGCATCATTTTAGCCTTGCTGCTGTTTCCCGCTTATTATGTATTTTACGGAGTAGCTCTTTGGCTTTTGGGTGTTGCTGGAAGTTTTAAAAGGAAATAGTGGAGAAATATCAAAAATAAATTGAGGTGAAAGTTATTTAATCTGGAGTTAGGTCATCTCAGTTATTGTTCATTAAAGTAATTAATTACTCGTTTATAATGATCGGACAATTCGTATACTTTGCATTGTGAAGGGTCGAATTAATCAATCATTTATTTTAGATTGTAACTGACTATTTAAATGGTCAATTTATGAGTAATTGCTAAAGCGTTATATTACTACATTATGTAAAACGGGAAATGATTTCAGATTAGAAACGGATGAAGTTCTCTCCGTTGCATTATATCCGTCGTGCAAGCCGAAACGGAAGACGTGAAGTGGACAAAACTGAACCATCCGTGCTTACCACCCATGTGGTGAGGGAATTTTTAATTCGATTAGGAAAATCAATTGGAATTTTGTCCGTACCAGTCGTATTTATTGATGTCATTGGTTATCCAGCAAGTATTACCGGGTCATCAATGGAGGTTACTTTCTTTTTCAACTTTTTCTCTCCTGAAATTTTAATTTATTGCTAGGTTTGATTACATTTGATACGAATTACACAAATAATTAGTTAAGAAAGTAATTAGGAGAGTTAGTATACTTTTCCTGAGGAAAGGGAATATCAGTTAACTCTCATAAAAACCGGCTTACCAGAGAGTATATTTTTTCATATACAAAACGTTCTGCCTTACTCAATATATTTTGAATAAGGTAGGACGTTTTTCGCATAAAAAAACTTGGAGGAGTGAGAAATTTGAATTTGATCTTTTTCCCTGAAATTTGGTCCGTCCTTCTTTCAATTAGACAAACGTTCATTTGTTATGTTAAATATTTATTGTTGGTATACTCATACTTTTCAGTACCGATTGAGTATCATACTTCTTTTAGTTTGCTACTTTCATTGACCTATAGACCATCCAGGATAAAATTATGACTTGGCCAACATTGTCCAATGATCTCTCATTATCATCTTGTTTAGCCAACATTACACGGTAGTGACAAGAAGTGGTGGAAACGGGATGTTGTCTGGTTATCACGTTTTGGTTTGCATAAACCAGAGATCGGACAAATTTACACGTTTATGTACGTTTATTTACTTCTAAGTTTTTTCCTTTTTTTTTGAAAAAAAAAGCTTGTAGAATTCCTTTTGTCCACTTCGTTAATTAAATTTTTCAAGAAAATCAAATTTATTATCATATTCGTTTCATTATATTTTTCCTTTCCCTATACCATTTGTTTCTAAATTTGCAGAATTTCAATCAAGATTTCTTTCTGTAGCAAAATGTTATTTTACAGACCACCAAATGATCCCGAGAAACGTCACATCAAACGTATCACTGCTGTGGATGGTGATATAATCAGGTATCATGCTTGTTTTAAATTCTATATCAACTTTACGGTCTGGTCAAATCCAGTATTTTCATCATGGATTACATCTGTTTAGAATATAATATGAAGTACCACATTTGTTTGAAATTCCATTCCACTAAGTACCGTGGCTGTTTCGAATTTAACTCAGTTCATCTACCAGTAGCAGTTAAGGGGAAATAAGCACATGTCTTAATATTTACTTTAAAGCTAGTTTACACACTTTTTAATGAATTTGAATTTCATGCAAAATTCTCTAACTGTAGGCCAAAACGTGGACCAAGTTTTGTAGAAATACCAGCTGGTTGTTATTGGATGGAGTCAGACAATCCTAACAATTATATAAGCACATGTCTCAATATTTACTTTAAAGCTAGTTTACACACTTTTTAATGAATTTGAATTTCATGCAAAATTCTCT